AGCTAGATTTTATAGCCTGTAGTAACAGGGAGATCTGAAACACTGTATAGCTCTTCTGTTTGTTACTAAGAATACCGATGGGTTTAGTGCTGGTGGAGGCTGAGGCGCTTTAGTGCCCAGTAATCTCTGATAGTTTTAGTTTTAAGTGCTTTGGAAAAACGTTAAGCGTTGCTAATAGTTGGTACTGGGTTATGTCTAGTTCATCATAAACCAAACGTAAATGTGGGATAACTTCTTGTAAATTATTGGCACAGTACATGGGAGAGGCTTGAATGATTTGTAGAAGTTCTCAGACAGAAAAATGGGCCTAAGGCTGTAAACAGTCCAGGAAAGAGACACCACCCCCAGCACACCAGGGGTGTCTCTAGACACTACCTGTGCTGCAATCTGAGCACAGTGCAGAAGACAACCTTCCCTATTGTTCCCGACTGTGGCTGTAACCTTTGTTTGCTGAATTTCCTTTTAGTTTTGTTGAGGAAGTTCAGCTGGGCTATATTGGTAATGAGGCAAGGGGAGGACTGAGGTTAATCGCCCCACTTGCTGCTGGAAGGCTGATTGGGAGATTGGAGCTTAAGGAACAATCATAATGGGACAGATAAAAGCAGGTCTTGGATACAATACAAGTCTCCCTATCTGGAAGGAGGGAAGGCTTTACAGAAACAGGGTGATAACACTTATGTTTGTAGTACTTTCACTGTTTATATTTAATCTAGTACTCCCTGGGGAAACAAAACTCACAGGCCTGCTCTCCTTCCCCTGAGCTGTTCTTCTACACTCTTGTTACTTTTGGGCATTTCAGCCAGTTGGGACCTCAGTTTAGAACTTAATTGAAATAATGTCAGAAGATCATTGAGGTTCTGTATGTTTGCTGGAAAAATCATGCCAGAGGAGAGGTCTCTGCAGGAGGAAGTTATATTTCCTTGTAGGGAGTAGCTACCAACCGGTGTATGTTCCTCCAGCTCCAGCATGACTCCCCTGCCTGCCCCATGGGCTGTGATCCTCTGTGTGACAGGGGAGCACAAAATGAATGTGTAGGAAACCAGGTCTAGTCAGTTCTGCTGCTAATGAAGTGATTAAAGAGAAATGCTTTGCAAAAGAGCAACTCAGAATGCAAGAGCTCACAGTTTAACTTGGCCTTCATCTTTGAAGAGGCCCTGTCACGTCAAAGTCTGACCCAAAACGTGTGTGTTTGAGGGAGTTAAATACAGTGGAACAACTTGAGAGGAAAAACTAGAAGGGTAAATGGGTAGAAATATCTTCTTGAAAGTTCTTTGGGGTTTTTTTTCCCCCTGTTTGGAAGTTAGTCTTACCCTGAGGTTTTGCAATTCAAATGTAGAATTTTCTAATGCTGGTCTGAGAGGTGCAGGAAACAAAAGGAACTGGCAGAAATGAAAGTGAAACGTTCTCATTTCTTTGTTTGTTTCGTGGGCCTATAATTCTAATCAAAGCTGACTCTAATAATTTCTTATTTGGTTGCTGCAGGTATGCATAGATTTAATAATTTTACAGAGTTTGAGGATGGGTGGTATCTTGTCTGACCTCGAGCTGTTGTGTTTCAGCCAGATTATTTTTCTAAGAAGAGCCAAGAGCTGAGCTAGGTTCCAGAGGAGCAACTGGCAGTGTACATTCAAAAGCAGGAAACAGAGTCTCTGTAACACCAGGATACTGAATAAATGAAATGTGCTGAAATGTGCCCAACAGGTTCATCATACCCCACTTTGCAGACACCGGTGAAAAGCTGTTTTTGTTGCCAGCCTGTCTGGGAGAAAACTCTGCTTTGATTCCAGGTCTGGCAGTTTGGGATGAGCCTGAGCTGGTGAATAAGACTTGCCATCCAGGTTTCTAGCAAGGTGTCACCTCAGCACTGATTCACTCCACTCCAGTGTTTTGTTTCCAACCATGTTATTTTCTTCAGAGGCACTCCTTTCCCCATTTCCCTCTCCCTCTCTCCTGTGTGGATTGCCAGGATCTGGCAGAGGAGGATCTTTTCGAGACTGTCTTGGGTTTGGGAGTGGTCTCTGTTCTGTTTCTCATGTTAAGTTTTATTAGCTGGTTTACTCTGCAGTTCTTTGTGAGATGGTAAGTTGATTACTATTGAGTTTGTTGCAGCAGTTTGAATTATTTCTTGTTTGCTAAATCATTTCAGTGTTAAAGAGCAAAAGAAAAGAGAAATCCCAAAGTTCAACAACATTATTACTGCACTTTTATTTTAGAGTCTGCACTGTGGAACTCCTAACTCTTCCTTTTTTTTTTTTTTTAAGGTACGAAATAATCTTGTCTTATGAAATGTCATGACCTCTATTTGTATTTCTCAGGAATAAAGAATGTATCTGTGCTTTATAACAGTAGCTGCTTGCATTTGGTTATACACACTCTCTTGATACATAGCATTATCACAGTCCTCAATTTATTAGGTGGCTTCTAGTTTTTACTAGCAGTTTCCTTAGTTATTTTCCCATCACAGTTGTACATTTGATTAAAGATTATAGATTCTCTTTGAATATATAACTGTGGGTTTTATTGAATGGATGAGAGCAAATAATTTGAATAATTTCTGTGGATTTTTTTTAAACCTAATTTCACAATATGACTCTAACAACTTGACACGTACACAAAGCAGAGCCAAGTGCGGCCCCACTTTTCCTGCAACGCCGGAGTTTCATGGTAGCTTTAATCTGGAAGTGGTGCCAACAGGAGTTGTCCCCACCCTACTCGTTGTTTGTTATTACCAGCCCGTGCTCCTCCTCCTCCTCCCTGGTGCCAGCTGTGCGTTAAGCTGGATTGCTGTTCCGGTGTTGTTCCCTGCAGGAGGCACAAGGGAGGGAGCAGCCCCAGGAGTGGCAGTAAGTAGCTGTTGGAGGAAAGTGGTGCTGCTCCGGTCGGAGTTGGTGCTGACCTGTGCTGCTAGAGGTGCCTCAGTGTGCTCCAGCCCAGAGTTGAAGGGTGTTGTGGTGTCAGAAACGAGCCAGAAATGAAAGTGGAATTGATCTGTGTGTGGATTTCTTGTTGGTTTGGGTATTTTTTTTCTCCCCTTGTCAGGTCGAACAAGTAAAACGTAAGAAATAGTTTAGAATTTGCAAAATCATACTCTGTTTTCCTTTTTGGTTACATTAAAAAAAACCCCACAGAGTGCAGTTTAAAGACAGTGACCTGCTATAGGCATATAGCTCACCAGTCTCTAGGGCACTGCTTTAACTGGTGCCCAGGGACCAGAGTAATTTGGCCACCCTGGGGGGTCCCTGCGCTCCCCTCACCACCCTGAGGCTTGAGCAGCTCTGGTACAGGTGGGCAGGAGCTCCTGCTGCTTTCTGCTAAGAATTGCTGGGGGAAAGACTGGCTACAGTCCAGAGGCAAATGCTCTTTAATCTTCTCCATTTTTGATCTAAAAGTGAGAGCCAGGTGCAATCAGTGTTTAATAGAAAATAGTTGTAATATTAACTCTATGCATTTGTGAGATAAAGTACTGAACCGTTGGAACAAATTTAGGAATACAGGGTTTTTTTTCTGTTTCAATTTTCATATTTTACTAAAGGCTGTGATGCTAACATCAGCTTCATGAAAATTCTTGTGGGTTTTGTTTCTTTGATTTTCATTTTGCAAAGATAATACGTATTTTCAATTACCTCAGTACAGACTTAAGATAACAGTTTTAGTACGTGCTTTGTGTGCTGAAGTGTGTTCTGATTTGTGTCTTTTAAAGGGAGAGATAGTAACTGTTACATAGTCTGGAAAAAACCACCCTGTCTCTTATATGGCTAATATTCAGAAAGGTGGTTTTTTTTTAAGCGTACATTTTAATCTGATGCTTCATTCTGGTTCTCATTATTAAAGTACAGAAGTAAACTGTGATACTTTTAATACTTGTAATTCATTGACTTCTCTATTATTCCTTTTCTGCACTAAATGATAAACTCCTTGTTTTGATGGGTCCTTGAAAACCCAGAAGTTTCCATGATCATGCATTTACCTACCAAGTATGCAGCTGGGCAGGAAAGAGAAACTCTGCACTCCATATCTTGCTATAGTTTTACAGGATTAATTTTCTTCTCTAATACTTCATTCCCATAGTTCTTAATTGCTGTCTGAAGATAATTAAAAAATCCAAGTTCTTGTTACAGATTCTCCCTTTGTTTTCTCTATTGGTAATTCCTTACAACCAGACCCACTCACTCAATCTCAGCTTCCCATTGGAACAGCCTTTGACTTGGCTCTGACATAAAGCTCAGATGATTATATGCCACCTAAAGGGCTGAGGTTTAGATAAGAAAAGTTAATTTGCAGCGAAACAGAATATTTACTATTTGTGGGGTTTGTTTTGCTATGCAAAATCTTAATTGTTGGTGTTTGACTTGGACTTACATGTCAGAAATTTGCTAAGTGTCTGTGGATGCAGGTGATCACTCAGGTTTATTATTAATACTTTGAGCTCTCTCTAAATGCTTTTTAAAATCAGTTAATAAAATGGAGCTTTGCTTGCTGGAAACTGAATGAGTTTTCTCTCGGGGCTAATTTGAGCTCTGTGTTTATTGAGTGATATTTTTGAGATGTGTTATTTTTTTCTTTTTTCCCCTAGTGTAGTTGCAGACATCTTGGTTCTTGTTTTTGTTCAGAAATCCAGAAATAGGAAGGAAAGAAAAAAGCAAGCTGTTGGCAGGTTTATCAGAGTGTTTTTTACCATGTTCTGCCATTTTCGTCTCTTTTTTAAATACAAATCAAGATCACCAAAATTTTCAAGAGTTTAATACAGAATGTGTATGAAAATTCACTTATGCCTGTGCGGGGGGATGTGCTTCCTATAACAATTAGAAGCTTATTTACTATGTTGTCTACACAGAACTTTGCTATTTTTCCTTCAGTTTACAAATGTCTTATCATTATTTCTTCAGTAGACAATCAGCTACGATCCTTCCCTGCACAGAGGATTTAAAATCAACTGCAAATTGCTTAAAAATTGCACATAAAGTGGTCTCAAGAGAGAGGAGAAACAGGTCTTCACTATCATGGAAGAGGCCAAGAGCTCAAAGAATGGAAATCATGACCCAAGGAAGTCTGTTCGTCTTGTCTGTGAGGAAGGCAAAACAGTCAAAGTCACAATTAATCAAAATTATAAACATAGCAGAAATGACAAATCTGTGAAGGATGTTGGGAGAAGTTCTCCAAGTGGGAATAGCAGCAAAAAAAGTAAACAAAATGATGTTTACTCTGAAAAACAAGGAGAAAATAAATCATGCAAAGTCAATAGTTGTAATCCTGGAACTAAAGATATGGGATCAAACGTTCAGGAGCGAAGTCATGGGAAAGTAAAAAAGTTTTCTAATTTATCGTCAGCAGTGGAAAACCTGAAACAGACAAAAGCCCAACCAGTGGGAGAAAACTCTCCAGGCTCCCATGTTTCAGGGAATGGGTTCAGTGTGGAAAGCTTAACAGCTACACAGAAAGGGAAACTGGTGTTGGAAAATCCACTGGGAGTTCATGCTTCGAAGGCTGGTGTTGATCAGACTGGTGATCCTGGTAAGACTGCTTCAGATCAAAGGAAAATGGAACATAAGCCTGATGACTTCAGTGAGTATTATTTAACACTGTTTTATTCCATTTTCTTCTGGTGCAGTTGCTAACAGTGTGAAATGGTCTTGGAAAGATTTCTGTTTGCATGTTTTTTCACACAAAGTTGCTGGCTGCACTTAAAACATAGTACTAATACAAGCAGAGAACAAGAGATTATGATAATAGCTGTCCTTTTTTCTTATGCCTAAAACCTAAACATCTTTGTAAGCCACTTAGTCTGTGTGGGTTTCAGGCAATTTTGTGAATATGGCGTTTTAGGAAGGGGGAACCCTTCATAATATCATTGTCACTTATGGAAATGCCATTTATTACTGCTTTTCAGAAAGATCCGGAAAAATCCGCAGTAAAAGGTTTTTATTATAGGTAGAGGGAAATATTTTATTTTCTTCGACTGTTGTGCTCTTTTTCTTCTTAAAAATGCTTGAAAGAGGTTTTGGCAGATGGCTTTTTGATTTAGGGAGCTCTGGAATATGTATCATCCATCAGCAATTACCCTTACAAGTGTGCAATTCTTACATTTTTTTTCGATGTTAGAGTTAAATACATGTATCAGGCTTTGTCTCGCCAGGTTAATTCTGTAGTTGAGGATTTGTCACACTTTTTTAGCATGCATTTTGTAAAACAAAAATGCTGTTTTAAGCTGCCCTGCCAGTGTGGTCCTTCTGCTGGGAGTATTTCCCACAACTACAGCAGTTGCTTGTGTGGAAATAGTAGGAAAATATTTGAGTGTGTGGGGTTTTTTAGCTGTCTTAATAAAATTGAAAAGGCAAACCAAATTGAAGTGACAGCATCCTGTGATCAGTCAGCTCTTTGCAGACCACCATCATGGACTGTAGGGACCATCTGTCACTGAGAAACCAGGACTTGAAGACTTTGTCAGTTTTGATTCCTAGCTAGTCTGGGGGCTCAGATCTCCTTTGAAAGGAAAGACAAAGGGAAAAGAAGGAAAGGAAGCAAACCCAAAGCACAGGCAACCCTCACTTTTGCTGATGTAAAAACGCTTGGAATCATTTGATGTAGGTGTTTGCCCAGATTAGTGGCCTGTGAACAATCCACAGGCATGTGGAGGAACTGCCTTTGGGAGCTGCCCCGTGTGTGTGAGCAGCAGCATTCCAGAGCACACAGAGGTGTCAGTGCTCAGGTGTAAATCCAGCAGCTTCTGGACTGAGGGGTGGAAATGCCTGGTGGCTGACCCTGTAAGGTCATGTGGGTGAAGTCTTTAAGGCAGTTCTATGACTGACTTCCATAACAAAATGTGGTGAGTTAAAAGATTTTAGGCCTAATATTTGTTATTTCTGTTACAGTAGGGCATACTCTGTTCTGCATTGCAAACAAAACCCTTTCTTGCCTTGGAGGATTTAACAGAGACTCTGAAGTTATGACTGAAACACAAAATGAACCTACTTTTTTTTTTTTTTTTTTTTTTTTTTTGATAGCACTCTTAGAGCAGACTAGTCTCTGAAGTCTCTCTAAAATACCCATGAACTCACTGGCAAGACTCTAATGTTTAATGTGATCTTGGACAAGCTTTGGACAAGAAACTGGAGTGTAGCTCTAATTCGTGTCTGGCTCTTAACTGCACTGTACTCTACTTTTCCCCTTCTTGAGTCGTTCTGAAGAAAGTAACTACTTCTTTCTCTAGGTAAAATAAAGAATTCTGAATCAACAAAAGAACATCCTTTGGAAGTGGATTATTTAGAAAACGCTGGTGTTATTGATGAATCTAATCTGACAGTTGAACAGCAACTGGGATTGAAACAAGCTGAGGAACGTCTGGAAAGAGATTATATCTCCCGACTTGAAAAAGTAGGTTGGGTTATTTATCAGATAAAAAAGAAAATGTGTGTCTCCTTTCATTGCCATCACCATATTTCTGCTTGGGTGGTATTTCTGCTGCAGCCTGTTGCCTCTGTTTCTTTCTTTGTAGTAATGAATCACTTTGTGATCTGAGATGTTATTGCTAGTAGTTCACTAGTCGTTCATCATGGCAGATGATAGGGATTGGAAACTTAGTGTTCATGTTGTGTCACGTGGAGCCTTTGTAGAACAGTATTTTTTCATTTTAAGACCTGTAGGTTTACAATTCTGTTACTTACATAAGATCTTCTGGAAAGTCTGGTTCCCTGGAAATCCAGAATGCAGGATGTCTCCAGTATAGTAGCCTCTCACCAATCCCAGTCACCTGTATTGCAGATGACTACTAAAAATGTTTGTCTAAACTTTTCTAAATACTATCACCAGTGAAACAAACACTGAAGTCAGTTAGGCAACCCAAAAGTAACATCTAATTCAAGTGCCTCTTGTAGCATTTTAACCCCTCATATATTGTCATAGGAAAATAAGCAGAAGTCTGTTACTTCTTTTTCACAACATTCTGCACGTCAGAAGATCATTACCATCCCTGCACTCTTGCTTGCTTCAGACTCTTTGTTCATTGGTCCTGGGGTTTTCTAGTTACTGGTTCATTCTTGTTGCTTTTCTGTAACTTCCCTTGTGTAACTGGTATCTAAAACTGGACATGCCATTTCAGCTGAAGTCTTACATAGAAAGGGGAAAGTTGACTTCATCTGTCTAAGATAGATCACTTGTTTAGGGTCTCTGCTCCTTCAACAGCTGTAGGATGTTGGCCTGTAGTTTGACCAGCAATGCTCCCCTTAGCCTTTCCTTAAGAATTGTTCAGTCAGGTCTTCCCTGTATTTTTTCAGCCTTCTAAGGAGGAATGATACTTTGCTATGGTATTATTTAGTTGGAGCTTATTTATTCCATTTCTCTAATTCATTGTGATCGCTGCACTTTAGTCATTTTGTGTCTTCTGTATCCTCTCCCAAGCTGGTAGCTTTCCCATTTGTAGGCAGCACACTCTCTTTTACATTTCCCAAGTCTTCATCAAAAGTGTGGGTATTCTGACCCCACAAGGACTCCTGATGAAAAGTACTTGGCACATGCTTTTAGGTTTGCATGCTCAGAGGACAGTACTCTGAGCAATTTTGCTCCCACCTTACTGTTCTTTATTTAGGTAGTATTTACGGTCTCCTTTTGAACTTGATACTATGACAAAGTGACAAAAACTTCATAAAATTCAAGATACAACATCTGCTGCTACTTCTTCAAGCACTATGACTTTCAGCTTTAAAAAAGCAGCCCTAAGATTGGGTTGGTGCAATTTGTTTGTAGCAGATCAGGTTGTCACCTATGACCTGTTTTTTTCCCCTATGTGCTTATTAATAATTTATGACAGTATTTTTCTGAATGCTAATTCTGACTGGTCTCTAATTCCTCGGCTCAGCTTATTTAACCTTTTAAAGATACTCTAAAGTTTCTCTTTCCTAGTGATCTGAAACCTTCCCATTCTCTATGAGTTCTTTCAAATACAACTGGCTGTGTTACAGATTAGCTCCCTGGATATCCAGGAACAAATTTCAAGAGGCCTGGCATATCTGGGTGCATCTTTCTTACTCAAGTACCAGCCTGTAATATTTTATGTCTTCCTATTTTTTGAGTCCTTGCCCCTTTCATTGCAGTTAACCATAACTAGATGATTAAAAAAGTCTTTACAATGAAGGCAAAATAAATGTTATTACATGATTCAGCCTTTCTGGCAACATCTATTGACATAATCCTACAGATCAACATTGGAAAGAAATACCCAATTTTTTTGAAATATTGTGATTGCTGATACTCATTTTATTATAGAAGAGTGGTAAAATGTTTTTGGTCTACTTAAGTCACCAAGTATCAAATACTTCAATCTTCTGAGCTAGCCAAGCATAACTGCCTCTAAGTTGTTCTCCAAATGGATGTTTGATTTCATCTTCCTAGGTGTCTGTCTCAAATAAAATAAGGATGAAGAGAATGAGCAATAAAAACATAATGACCATGTTATTATAAATTGCTATTTTCTCTGCAGTTGGAGAGTCTCAGACTTCTCTTTTCCAAAAGCAAAAGATCAAACTCACTAAGTGGAAAAGCTTGCCCAAATTTAACAGTGGTTTAAGTTTCCACATAGTAAGTCAAATTTATTTGACTGATCTGTGGTCCATCTTAGTGTCTCAAAATGGTTTTCTCTGTTCTTTCATTGTGTCACTTTTTAAACATCTGTGTACTTTGGGGTTTTGATAAATATAGATGTGTTACAATTAGGGTGAAAATGTTAAGTTTTTTTTCTCTCCCACTTAAAACTGATAGCAGTTACTGGAAAAATGCTAAGAAATCTGGAGAAGAGCTAAAGCTTTTTGTTGGGGCCCTTTTGTCTTTGCAATGAGTGTATCAAAAGGTTTCCATCTCTGTAGCTGTGATCCATTAGAACAAGGAAATACATGTGCAGAATGAGACAGATAAAGTGGGGTATTTGCAAACAACTCCTCCTTTTGCAGAGGTGGTGGTTCTCAGTGGTTTCCTGGTTGAATACACTCCACAGTATCCCCTCTTGGCCTTTCTTCCCCATCATCTCCAGAGGCTTGGCTGCTGTGTGCTCTTGGGGGTCTCCCAGGTGCCAGCTCTCCATTTGTATGCTCCATCTCTCCCAGCCTGGCTGTACAAAAAGCTGTTTGTTTTGCATGGTTCTTCAATTCTGACCATCCCAGATTAGTCATCAAAATGGAATAACATTACCCCTTGTCAGAGCATCACACCTTACCCAGAGTACAGTCATTAGTGAGCCAGGAACTGGCCATCCTCCTCCTTTCCTCACTGGTCAGACACACCCTTTGTGATGATAGAACAAGAACTGCAGCCCTTGCACGGTGTGCTATGGGTTCACTGGTCAAACACCACCACCATCTGTCATAACACCTAGTGCAGGTAACATCATGAATACTTACCATTTTTGCATCAGACAAAGGAGAGTGGATGCTGGATTAAATAAATCCAGTTATTAAAAGCTTGAGCAGACAAGGGAATAGCTTACTGGTCTGTAGGTCAACCTTAAGAAGTATCAGCTCTTATGTCTTAATCTTACCTCATGAGAATTTACTCAAGTTGTCTCACTTCCTTCCCTTGCTTTCCCCACTTGTCATGCAGGTAAAAGTCCATTTCCACTTTGTTTTTTGAAGGTTACTTACTGTTTGCAAAGCACCTTGACATTAACAGTGTTACATAATTGTTAGGTACAGTTTATCATTAGAAGAATTGAGTTTTTCAGGCACTATTGGCAGAAATATTCTCTTTTAACTTGTGTCCCTTTTTCCCTTAGCGCTCCCCAGAATACACCAACTGTCAGTATCTATGCAAACTCTGCCTAGTTCACATTGAGAACATCCAGGGAGCTCACAAGCATATTAAAGAGAAACGGCATAAGAAAAACATAATGGTAAGTTAACAACATTTGGGCTATATTATTTTAAATTATATATAGTTGTGTGGGTTGTTTTCTTTGATCATGTTCATTTAGGTGAAAGTTTGTGTGCTGAGCAGAGATCCACAAATTTGTGTTTTCTGTTTGAGAGGAAGGGTTTGATCTATCCAGGCAGAAAGGAAAGAACGTTTTTGGTCTTTGCTGCTGAGTTTAGTGTCTCTGAGCAGTAGGTAGTTCATCATTCTTCTAGTAACAGAATGCAAGGTAACTTAGGTGAGAAATAGATGTAGTTTTTCTGTTCTTTCCAAAAATAATGTTGGTGAGACCTCCAGGGACTGGAGATGGAGTGGGGGATGTTGGGGTTTTTTTGTTTGTTTTTATAACTTGTGGAGTTTTGATCTACATCTCTTCTGTGATGGTTGAGCAGAGCACATAGTTTTAAAATAAAGAGGAGAGTTACAGGAAGGAGGAATTCAGTTCCTGAATCACTAACCATCTCCCTGGGATTATAAATGTGTTAGTATGAAAAACAGTTCTAAGGCTTAAAAAGAGAAGCCAGTTTCCTTATCAGATGCCACAGTGTTATGATTTGCTCTAAAGAACTGTTACATCCATGAAATCCAATAAAAGGTGCACAGATTTTCTTGCCAGCTCAGTTTTGTAAATGCTGATGAAGAGCTACAAATTCCCCAGTGTGTTGGGTTTAGATGATTAAAATTGCTCTTCCTACAACCATTCCCCAAAATTCAATCAAATTCTCTTATTTCCCTGTATTTCTTGCTATACTTGTATTTGTGATTAATGCTCTAATTCTGTAATATTTGCAGACCATCACCTGGAAATTTCTGAATGCCATAAATCCATTAAATCTCAGAAAGTAACGCTGTGCTCTGTCCAGGGATCATTTGTTAAGGATTCTTGTCTCTTACTGTCTGCTAAATTGCATCATGAAAGCAAAAAATGAACCAGCCCAGCCCCATGTTTGGTCTATAGACACTTTCTTACCATGATTTTCACCTGGGCATGGAGAGAAGAATTGAGGAATGAGACTTCTTTACCACAGAATGGAGTGCTGAGGCAGTTTCAGTTTTTAACACTTGAAATAGCTTTATTATAGTGATAAGTATGTGACTGCCTTCACAAAATACACCTATTGACAGCTCTGTGAGGTACATGATTACCCCACAAGCTTAACAGCAGCTGTGGATTCCCAGCTCAAGAAAAATCCTAAAGCAGAGACATAAAACCCTCCAGAGACTTTTGCATATATTCCTTATTGTTGTTCTTTGTGCTAAATTGTGTCAGATAAGGACAGAAGAATTGAGAGATGCAGCCTAGAACTAACCAAACATTTTCATACCATACTGTTGTTTTTTAGTGCATAATTATTTTGTGCCTATTACCTATTTCTGTTGTCAGTCACATTTCATTTAGTTGATGAACTTGTGAAACAAGTGATTGTTGTGCTTCCAAATGACTTGGTGCACCTGATATTTTCTTGCTGTTGGATTGGATTGATTATAATTTGATGCACTCACCCCAGTACTTTCAGGCACCAGCTGTTTAAGCAGGAATAGAACTCAACTTATAAAAATTTCCTGGATCTGTGAATACATTTTCTATCTCTGATAGCTTTCCTTCAAGTACAATCCACTCTGAAAAAAATCTGCATGACTTTCCCAGCTCAGTTGCTTTTATTGTGTAGGAACAATTACAGCTTTTTATTTTTTTGAATGAATTCTGTTTCAGAACTGTCAGAAAATGTGGTTCAGGCATGGAATACAGCAGATTTCCTCCCCAGTTGCCAGCTGTGAAACAACAGCTCTATTTTAAACACTGAGCATCCACTGTCATTCCTGTGAGCCACACTGTGACACTTGCCAGTTAGGCCAGGCAGAGTTCCTGCCTTTGGCAGTGGTTGGTCAGGGCACCACATAAATAGAAGAACACAAACAGCAAACAGTATGTTCCAATATCATGCAATAGTATGAGATAACCTTTTTCTCTTAAAACATCAGTTTTTACTTATATCATCCAACTCAGGAAAAGCAGGAAGAGAACGAGCTGCGAGCCCTGCCACCCCCCTCTGCTGCACAGTTGGCTGCTCTGAGTTTTACCCTTATTGAGGCAGCAAATGAACAAGGCATATCAGATGAGGACTTCAGAATCCGTCAGGATATTGTAAATGAGATGGAGAAAATTATTCAGCAGCCCTTGCCAGGTATGCAAACTATTTTTCATTTTCTGTAGGTGAAACTTTTTCTTTTATCTTTACATTGATTTTGATACCTTCATCACTGGTGAGTTAATGCATTTGGGGTTAAATTATCTTGATACTATACACTATTGAGACATACAGTTTAATACAGACTGGCAGTCGATTTAAAAGGAAGTAACAAACACAAAAATAGGAAAACATAATTGTGTTTATTTGACCTTCTTTCTGGTATGTGTTTATTGAAGCTATTGATCCTCTTTAAAGTGCTGGGATAATAATAAGATGATGTTTGACATTTGCTTCTTTGCATTGATTTCCCATCATCTCCCACAGTTAATACACTTGGAGTTTGAGAACAGATTTCTGGAGTGTGGTGATTGGAAATTATATTAACAGTCGTTTGGTGTTCGGTGAATGTGAACAGAAGAGAATATTAACCTCATTGCCAAAAATAAGTTTTTAAACTTTTTATTTAATCTTCATTGAAATTAGGTGTTGTTCTATACTGTCCTTTTATTTTAGAAATACCTGCTTTTTTCCCTTTGCTCTACAAGCACAGAGCAGTAAGATTTTGTTAGCTGCAGGATGATCAGCTTTAATTTTAGGTGCTCTATTAAATATATGCTGAGACATAAGGTGCTGAATAGAACTGGGGTTTGTAGGGTGGAAGTTTGCTGATCTGTTTGCCATATGTGGCTCCTGGTGCAAACTGCTGTTCTGACATGCTATTGAATTTTCCAGTGGTAGTATATTAGCATAAGACAAAGCTTTTTTACGTAACGTTTTAGCATAAATACTCAGGAAAATGATTATTTTATTGTTACTTGTCTGGCTGATTGTTTGGACTGATGAGCTGCTGTGGAGGTGTAGGAGTAGTGGAAGGGGAGTCTGTAATACTAAATGACAGTTTGCTGTTCTCCTTTTCAAAGCCTTCTGTGTTGTAGTGAATGAGTTTTCCTGGGTTGTAAATTAGGAAAAGTTTAATTCATGCACAGTGTAGAAAACATGGGATGTTCTGGCATGATTTTCTCTTGAGCTCATACTAGAACTGTGCAAAAATTCTTACTACTCTGCAAAGCCACTGGAAATAATTGCAATTATTATTATTATTATTAACCATACAGACATTAATTTTGAGAGGGATAGTTTCTAAGTAGTGAAACATAGATTTCTTCAAAGCTATGTATGTTGTAAGATTTATTTTCTCCTTTAAGAATTATTTCTGATAGAGTTTGGTCAGAGTACAAATAAGAGGCCTAAGGAAAAATACAAGGAAACCCCTCTTCTCTGTGAGGGGGGGTTGAGCCCTGGCACAGGCTGCCTGGAGAGATTGTGGACTCTCCATCCTTGGAGATTTTCAAATCCCAACTAGAGACAGTTGTGGACACCCTGCTGTAGGGGGCTCTGCTTGAGTGGATGTTGGATTCGGGAGGGATGGAGGACAGCCTCAATTTTCAGTTGACTGAAATATGTGAGACCCTAATGTGTGTTACAGGAAAGTTTTCATCTACAAAAATTATCTCACGAAGAGAGATAGATTGCTGTTTATGGAGTGGAATGGCATTTCTTGTATTATTACAGAATTACTTTCTGATTAGTTTAGACCTGTTGTAAACCTTTGCAGGTAAGGAACTGAAGTGACTACAGAACCACTGAATGGATACTGTACTTTGTGCCTTGGATTATGTTGGAGTTATGTTTTATATGCATGTTTTGTAATGAATTGTGCCTAGGAACTTGGTAATGAAATTAACAGATTGGTGCCTCATACCAAAGGCAACAAGGGATTTTAGAATTGGCTAAGTGCTGCAGTGACATCAAGCTGTAGTTAACTAAAGCTGTTATGCAATCCTACACTAACATGGTGATAGTACTATTTGATAGTCAGTTTCATAGTAAGAACAAACCAAACTAAAGCTCCATTGCAAAAGTACTTTAAAACAACTTGAAAAAACGTGGGCAATTGGTAATCGTTTCATTTGCATATCTCTGTGTGCAAATGATTTCTTTTCAGGTGGTGCTGTGTTCTGGAAATGACTGTCACTCACACTCATTAGTCTGGGAGTCTTCACCACTTGTGAAGTTCAGTGTCTGAGGCAAGATATGCATCATCCATTGAAGGAAAACTTGTTTACTAGCTGTTAAATACTGATGTTTGTCTCTCTCTCTCTCTGCAGACTGTTCCCTGAGGATGTATGGCTCCTGCTTAACTAGATTTGCTTTTAAGACCAGTGATGTTAACATTGATATCAAATTCCCCCCTAAGGTATGTAGATATTATCTTGTATTAACTAAGACCTTTTTAAATCAAGGCCATCAGCATTTATTTCTACTCCATTGCTGTCTTTGTCTCTTGGGGCATGTGGTGTTAGAAAGCACAAAGCATCTAATCTTTGCTTTGGTGTCAGCGGTGCTCTGAATCAGGGGAACCAGGGTGTGCATGAATCAAGTTTTCTTTGCTTATTAGGTAACTAATTCTTGGGCTTTTGGGCAGTCTTGTGCTGGCCTTTTTAAAAATCATTTTGAGTAAGCATTGAGGCAGTGTGAAAATAGTTGGTACTGCGTAAGTGTGCTTCCATGTACTCGTGATTCAGGCTATGAAATCTTGTAGGTCTTGATTCCCCTCCCTTTTAAACTTGGGGCTAAAAGGGGCATTTTTGCTTTTGTGGTTTAGTCACTTGTAAGTAGATAGCACATCCCAATTTACAGTTTATGGTATAAAATTCCTGCAGAGGAGTATAATTTACCTGTGAGTAATGAAGTTGTTGGTTTGTGTTTAGTATGTGATATTAGCAGCACATTCTTATTCGAGGCACAACTGCTGAACTTGCTGTTCTGTTTGCCTGTGACAGTGAAATTGAAGCCAGCAGTTTGGGGTACTTACAGGTGGCATTGTGAAGGGGTGCTGCAGTCAGGAAACAGAGCTGAGCCCATTTTCAAACAGTTACATATGCAGTGTGCCATGTCACCTTTTCACAAAAGCTCAGAAGTGGTGCTAATTTTTAGCTTTTCTTTGATCTATTTATGCTTCTCTTTGAAACAGCACTTGGGTTGCTTTCTGGGGAGAAAAGAAATCCCATTAAAAAATCACAGCCTTTATAAACCTGTGGGAAAGCACAGGTTTGAATTCTTTATTGTGCATTTCTAGTGGCATATGTTGACACTGAAATTGTTGCATATATGCCAAGAATTTTAACCTTATGGTGACTCTTAATATGGAACTAGAAGAGAAGTGTTAACTAAAAAGCTGTAGGCTAAGAGAAATCTGGCTGATGCTTTTACTAGTACCTGTTATGGTGCAGACAGAGTTATCTTTTTCATTAATACTGAGGCACGATTCCACTTTTGTGAAAGAACAGATACTTATTGTGCAACCCAAGTGGTTTAGAAGTAAGTGTAAAATAAAACAGGTTAGTCTGAGTAATGTAAGCTGCTCTAATTTTGTCATTGTAGATGAGTCAACCAGATGTTCTGATACAGGTGCTTGAAATCTTGAAGAACAGTGGTGAGTTTTTCTTGCATCCCTTTTCTGTTTAGCATTCCATCTGCTGCTTAGTTGTTTTTATGCTTAATTGTTGTGTAAACTTAGAAAAATGGATTAGGTTTCATCCAAAGCATTGGAGCTGGTTTTATGAATGTGATTTTTATGAATACCAGTGCTTGTGTGAGTGAGAGCTGAGAAGCTGCAGCAAGAAAATGGCAGCCCATTTAGTCTGGTTCAGATTGCCACAAGTTATGGCAATAGATGCCAGATGAAAAAGTGTTTAACCTTTCATGCAGAAATTCGAAGCAGTAAACCCCAAAGCTTGGGTTTTTTTTCACTTGCACATGAACATGAGTGAGAACTGTTACAAGACTTGTGAAACTTGCAGCCTCCTTGTTGTGCCAGGAGCAGCCTGGCTGTGTGGTACTGGTGCTGAAAATCAAAATAACCAGAAAATACTGCTTACTGCTTAGCTACACAGCTCTTAATTTGAGTTGTTCCGAAAAATCATGGGAGAAGTATAACAGTTTTAAAGACAGAATTGGGAAAACTGTAAAAAACTTTGATACAGAATGTTGTTTTTTCCTCCTTGCTTAGCTGTCTACTCTGATGTGGAGTCAGATTTCCACGCCAAAGTTCCCGTTGTCTTTTGCAAAGATGTTAAAAGGTACGTGTCGCTGAGAAGGGTTTTTAATGAGAGACCAGTTTCTACTGTGCTTATTCATAGCTGCTGTTTGCCTGCACTCCTGACAAGAAGTATTCCTGTAACATTGGTGTTAAGGGGAATTGCTCATACATGAGGATATAATCTAGAAAGAAAGCTTTTGTGCTACACAGAGCTCATTAGTTGGAGGAGTCTGAAAGTACCCCTTCTACTTGTGATTTGCTAGGGGAGCAGGGGAATGGTTTTCAGTTGTTATGGAAGATTTCTGCCAGCAGTTTAAGCCAGGGCTTTGAAAACAGTTTATAAGATGCACATTGCCAGAAAGGACACATCATCTGACAGTTTCAGTAAACTCCTAAGGAGTAGCAGCCCCAAAATGAAACATGATTGCTTGACTGGCTGGAGATGTGTGATTGAAACTCTGGGGAAGTAAATGCAGCAAGGGTGGGAATGTCTTTTCCCATACTTGTAAGAAGTGGAAATTATTATGGGAAGCAAAAGGAAGTTTTTTGGAGTTGTTGTTTTGTGGACTTACCAACTCTTAATGTGCAGCAGGTCTGGAGTGTTCATTTATTTATTACTTGTTTTATTGTTTGGTATGTAGAAGACATACTTGGAGATTGAGTTGTGTGAGACAATGGCAGAACTTAAATTCTTAATGCTATTTTGTATTTTTAGCTGTAATGAATTTCTGTAAGTTCTAGGCGCAACTGATGAGTTAACAGTAAAGAAAATGTAATTATATTCTGTAGCTTTTGTGAAAAGTGTTGAGGTTCTTACAGAGGGAGGCACTGATGAATGTGTTTGTTATGGTGGGTATGATGCCTCGAGCATCATCTTTGTACACGAAGTGATAACCCTTCTTCTGTTCTACAATTGTAATTGCAGTGGTTTGACATGTAAAGTGAGTGCTAGGAACGATGTGGCTTGCCTTACAACTGACCTGCTGGCTGCACTGGGTAAACTGGAGCCTGTCCTTATTCCCTTGGTTTTGGCTTTCCGCTACTGGGCTAGAGTAAGTTATTTCATTGTCCTCAGTACTTATAGTGGTCGTTTCTTCTTTTGAAGTACTGTGCACACTAATTGTAATTATAATATACCATGGATATGTCTGTAGAAAAGCACTTCATGCCACTACTTCACCCCTGACCTTAACAGGGCAAAACATGACTAAAGATGTTGGTGTGAAACTCAGTAAATACAGAAGTTCCAGTGTTCTGCTAACAAGCTGTTGTGCTGTTTCCTTAAAACTTACTAATTGATCTTTGAAAAGCAGATCAACTTTCTGCTATTCAGGTCACATTGTAAAAACTTAACTTGCTCCAGCAAGGGTCTTTGGTCATTTGCTGCTGTACTTCTTACAGACATCAACAGTGAATAGAGGAACCAAGATGCAGCATTGAACTGTCTTGTCATTCAGTCCTGATGTTGCTCTCAGGCCATACTTAAAACATCTTGGCTTTATTGAAAAATCACTGCATGGTATTATTAATGTTGTTTGATTTAGCAAGGTGTTTTTGTTAAAATCCTGTTTTACAGCAGTACAGACTATAAAGAACTGTTCAAAGTCTTACACATTTATTTCACATGTCTCCTGAGTTCCCATGAAAGAGATCATGATCAGATTACAGCCACGTGCATGGTATCCCCATCTCCATACATGAGGCAACTACTGCACAATAATACATACCTGATAGTTGGCTGAAATTCTAGATAGAAGCATAAATGTGGCCCACAATCACAAAATGTGATGAAACTGAAGAGAGTAATGTATCATAAAATAGTATAATTGAAGGCACTATATACAGTATATCCACTATATAGTACATACTATAGTTTGTACTTTGTCCACGACCTAACTGCAGTTTGTGAGATACAGGATTTTCTGTTTCACTCTAGTGTGTATCTCACATTTCTTTAGTATTTGTCCCTTTGTAATAGATTCTAAATTGAAATGCTGGTGTTACAGCATGAAAGTAATTGTTTATTCCCTTACAGCTCTGTCACATTGACTGTCAGGCTGAAGGTGGTATTCCCTCGTATTCCTTTGCCTTAATGGTGATATTTTTTCTTCAACAAAGAAAACCACGAATTCTACCATCCTATTTGGGCAATTGGGTAAGTGCTTGGGTAACATAGTACCTGATTGGTGAATTGTTGACATTATTTCTGTGTTCTGCAAGATGTCAGAACGTGCAGAATTTGATAGTAAATAAAATGCACTAACTAAACCCTAACCCTAACTACATTTAGTTAACTGACTAAATGTACTTAATCTTCACACAGATGATGCCTGGTGAGTCTGAAGACTTTCTAAAAAAGGGCAGTTGCTGTACCCTGTGCACTTGTGCTGTATTTTGGAAAAAAGGCAACTATTTTCTTCTTTAGGTCTCTGAATTTATTTCTCTGACATGAGTCGTTCTTGAAGGGTATAAATACCACAGTTGTCAGTGTTGCCTTTGGTGAAAACTTCTGGTTGTATGCATAATATACAGTCTTGTTTGAGAGCTCCTTTCTTTGTTGTTAGATTGAAGGCTTTGATTCAAAGAGGCCAGATGATCACCAGCTGAAAGGTGTAGAGGATGAAGAGTTTGTACGATGGGAGTACAAACCACCAACAAATGGTGCAGCGAAAAACTCTGTTGGAGCAGAAAGTAAAGCTAAAGTTGAACAACAAAAAGGTGGTGGCAAGAAGGTACCAAGCTCAGAAGCAGACAACCAAATTAATGCAAAGGAGAAACATGGAATTGTAAGTCATGCTTTTATTTCATTGAAAACCACTTGCAATCTCTTACCCCTGTTTTTTATCTCTAAAAATGTATATTGGGTGGAACCAGAGGAAAAAAGGGGAATATTCCTTTCTTGCTGCAGTTGAGCATTCTTGTCCATGTTTTTCAGTCTGTCTTAGCTTTCAAAACCCCTCACCAAGTTTCACTGGGGCAACTGTGGTTGGAACTGTTGAAGTTTTACACACTGGAATTTGCTTTAGAGGAATACGTCATCAGCATACGGGTACAGGAGCTCCTGACCAGAGAGAATAAAAACTGGCCTAAAAGACGAATAGCCATTGAAGGTAGGAGATTCCCTTTCAGGTCTGTAGTCATCCTGCATTACCATCTTTACTCAGCCAAGACTTAAGTCTGTCACAAGAAGTCTGGGCAATAAGTTTTTATGTATAAAGACAAGTTTTCCCTGTTTAAAAGCCGAGGTAAGTCCTAGAGCAATGCATGGCATTCTGAACTGGCCTTCAGAATAGAGAAATTGGGTATTTGAGGAAGGTTAAGAGGCCATGTAAGGTGGTATTTTTATAAAGGCATAAGTAATGACTTTTTCTAGAGATGTTGAACTGGCTTATCAGTAACACATGAGGCCATGGAGAGGATAAAGAGTCAGACAGAGAATGAGTTACTAAAGGTATAGTGAAGGCGGAACCAGGTGCAAGAAGAGCAAGAATGAAAAGTAAAACAGAGAAAAACAAGCAATGAATTGTTGAGGCACATGTTGAGTAATGGGTCTTGAGATCACTCCTGTGGCTCTAGTTTCCCTTCCCAATTTTTTCCTTCAATCACTTTTAGCTAGGGTTTAATAAAACTAGAGAAGTGTTTATTCAACATGTGGGGTGTCAGATGACGGAACAAGTTATTGAGGAATGAAAAGGAGAGAGTTTCCAAAAATCATGTTGCATCTGGTTCTGTGGCTGAAATTATGAAGTAACAGAATCTCAGTTTGGTACTGACTTCCCAAGCAAACATACAGCAACTATGCAAGTGCTCTTTGTACTTGGAAAACATGTTTGATCTAGAAATCACTAGGAAGGACTAAGGATGAAACCTTAGTGTTCCTCTTAGACAAATTGATTTCTTGAGGGAAATGCAAATCCTCCTCCAGTGGAGGAAGAAAGGTTCTGACAGGCCTGTTTTTATTTTGCCTTTGTTTATTTTAATTTCTAGTTTAGAAATTCACCATAGTCTAATGGTACAACATACCTGAGGTTTTCTTTTTAGGTAACATTCATGGTTGCTCTTGTTGGGTGTGTTCTGTAGGGAAGAATTGTGCAAACACTTGGGAGCCTCCCATTCTCTAAGTATATCCAAATACAGTTCTGGATTATAATATAAGAATCTCTTTTTAACTGCCATATAATAACTTAGGGATTTCAGCTGCTTTGTGAAATGTAGAAATTAAAGATGCCTAATGCAATTGTTCTTTCTCTTCCTAGATCCTTTTGCACTAAAGAGGAATGTTGCACGGAGTCTAAATAGCCAGATGGTATTTGAGTACATCCTGGAGCGATTCAGGACAGCATATAAATATTTTGCGTGTCCACAGAGTAAAGATGGGATTAAATCCAAGCCAGATACCAAGAAAAAAGAAAAAGGGAAAATGAATAATAAGAAATCTACAAGATCTGAAGAGCCTGTAGCAAACTGTTGCCTTTCACAAGAGGAAAATGTTGTAGAGAAAGAAAACATAGGAAGTGGATGTAACATACCAGAGAATGAAGTTGAATGTAATGAAGCAGTAGAAGCTGTAGCCAAAAGATATACTTCCCAGAACATGGACTCTTCGCTACTTTCAACATTGGACTCTAGTTATGATGAAGACAAAGAAGAAGCTTTACCCCTTATTTCTAATGAATGCTGTGAACTAAAGCAAAAATCACCCAAGGAGAGGGAGGATTTAGAAATTTCAGTTTGTATAACTGAAGGTGAGCTGAGCCATCTCTGTAACTGCAGTGAACATCAGCCTGATGACACAAACTCCAGTAATGAGTTTTCTGATGCTGAAAGTAGGCAGAGTTTGGTGATGGAGTCGTCTCCAGAGACGAAGTGCACTGGCACACCAGCTACCTCACCCAACTGCACAGCAGTGGTGGACACTCATGAGCTCAAAGATGAAGGCAGACTCTCAACAGAAGAAATGCATTATGTGTTTGACAAGTTCATTTTTACTTCAGGAAAGGTAAGCAGTATCATCTGTCAGGGGGCTGTTACTTTTGGTGACTGACCCTGAGGGTGGGTGGATGGCAGGACTCTCCCAGTGATTGTTTCAGCCTGGCTTGTGAATGATAGCTCTGGCCTTGGTAGAGTACCTGTTACTCAGGGCTGGAAAACCCCAACCTGTGTGCTGTTTGGACTGGATGCTCTGTTGGCACCATCTTATGCAAAGCTTTTTGATGTACACAAAAAAAAATCCTGGGTTTTTGTTTTTTGGTTGTTTTGTGGGTGGGTTCTCTTTCTTCTCCTACTTGTATAATTTCCAGGTGCTTTTAGGCACTGTGAGAAGTGAATTGAGAGGTGCTCTTCTGTTTTTTGTAGAGGCTCTGTTGTTCGTATGTTAAGTGTTCTTGTTTGTGTGGAGGTTGTAGCCAGGTGGGGGTCAGTCTCTTCTCCTGGGGAGCAAGTGACAGGATGAGAGGACATAACCTCAAGTTGTGCCAGGGGAGGTTTTGGTTGGACATTAGGAAGAATTTCTTCACCAAAAGGATGGTTAGACATTGGAATGCACTGCCTAGGGAGGTGGTGGAGTCACTATCCCTGGTGATGTCTAAGGAGAGACTGTACATAGCACTCACTGCCATGGTCTAGTTGACCTGGTGGTCTTAGGTTATAGGTTGGACTTGAGGATTTCATAGACTTTTTCCAACCTAGATGATTCTGTGATTTTACATGGAAATGTTAGATCTGCTGAGCTATGTTAAATGTAAAATTGCATTTTTGCACCTTTTGTTTTCCCCCCAAAGCCACCAACCATAGTATGCAGCATCTGCAAACGGGATGGACATTCCAAAAATGACTGCCCAGAGGATTTCAAGAAAATTGATCTAAAACCACTACCACCAATGACAGACAGATTTCGGGAAATACTTGATATAGTGTGTAAAAGATGTTTTGGTAAGTTCAAAAAGTGTTCATACTCCACTCTACACTGTGATCTGTAACTGTAGGGTTAAATTACTTTAAATTATTTACAGTTCAGATTTCTGAGGTAGCTGAATATCACATCTGACTGTGTTTTCACTTGTTTTTACTTAGATGAATTATCCCCTCCTTTATCTGAGCAACAAAACAGAGAACAAATTCTGGCAAGTTTGGAAAGATTTATTCGAAAAGAATATAATGGTACGTAACAGTAGGCAGTGATTCTTGGTAATGCCCTCCTCAGTCATCTTGTCCAGAGCATGAAGATGTGATTTGTCTCATTTTATTTTCCTTGTGTCATCTCTTCTGCTCCTCTCTGTTAAGCTATTTTGCAGACTTCTGCACTGAACATCCCTTCATGTTATTCCCTGGAGTGGAGGAAGAGCTGCCAGAGTAGTAATGCAGATACAGGACTATTGCAATCAGGACAAAAAGCAAGTTTGGTTGGGTTTAGTGTTAGCTTTGGTCATGAGCCAAGTTCTCTTGTTGCCTAGTCACCAGTGTTTAAGTATCTTAGAAATCTTAATGAGTTTATCTTCACATCTCTTTTATAAAACAGGCAAAAGTATCTCACTACAGTGACACACATCAGGGCACAGAGATGCACAGTGATTTTTTTTTTTTTTTTTTTTTGGTATTGTTATGGTGTTGTAAAAGAGTGCTAGAGCCAGGTACCAATCCCAGGTCTCCTGCATTCCAGTCCATGGAAGTCATCAGTTCTGCTATAGTTGGCCTGTCACCAAGGAACTGAGAAGTCCCACTGGCTGTGCCTCCACTTACTGGCAGCAGCTGAGGATTGAGACCTGTTACAAAGCCTTGAAAGACTTATGGTTTTCAATTCTATTAAAGGTTAGGAAAAAGCAGTGAATAGGTGTTTTATTTACGTATTTTCCCTAGCATCAATTTCAGGTAAATGTATTCTTTTCAGTTAGGAAGGAATTCCCTTTGCTACATAATTTTGCTTTCGTTTACAGTGGTGAAAATACTTGCATGTAATACTGTGTTTCAAACAAAAATGTAAACAGAGCAGTTGGGAAAGAATGTTCCATAAAGTATAGTAATCTTTCTGCTTGTATGTTTTTGAAGAGAATGTCATGGTTACAAAAACTTACTGATTGACCAGATTTACTTAGTCACAGGAAAAATATGCAATCTAGATAAAGCACGAGTGGAACCAGAAATATTACTTGTACTACCATAAGAGTAGCTTTGTCTAATCTGTGGGGTAAAGCTGTGCTGGTGACTGGTTTGCACATTACTTTGATTTATTTTAAATAGTAAAGTGCAGCCTCATACCACAAAACATTGCACCACATTTAGAGGTGCCATTTAATGATTGTAGTAACTCTGTGACATACCTCAGTCATAAAAAAATTACATGGGCTTTATCCTGCCTGAGTTTCCATTAATAATTTTGAAAGTATTGTGTTTCCTCCTTTAGCAAAGCTGAAATCTTTGATGTGACCTTGTAAGCTCTCTCATTAGGCTGTTTTTTTGGGAACCTGCACATCCCAGTTAAGCAGTATTCCATAGCTTAGACTTACCATTTGACTGTAAAAAAATTTACCAAATTCTGGTCTCTTCCTGTGGTCAGACAAAGCCAGGCTTTGCTTATTTGGCTCTTCGAAGAATGGGTTTGGATTTCGGGACAGTGATCTGGATATCTGCATGACATTGGAAGGCCATGAAAATGCAGAGGTAAGAGTTTGGAAATTGATTAGATCTGCTGTTATAAATTCAAGAGTTCTTTAAGGATTTTAAATTCTATTCATTGAACATTGGTTGGCTGTACTCTGCACAGCTGAAGCAACATCTAGCCTATTTTGCTTTTGATGCCCTGAGCCACACAGTCAGTGCACTGTGGATATCCACGCAGAGCACATGAGTCACCAGTTTGCATAAATTTCTGTGTTGGCTTATTGCTTGCTTCTCTTTGTACATAGACTTGTTCCCTATGACATATACATGATAATAAATATGCTTGTTGGAGTAGGATCCATGTTGTAATATCTAAAGCTCTGATATTTGTTTTTCCTAGAAATTAAACTGTAAAGAGATAATAGAAGGTTTGGCAAAAGTTCTTAAGAAGCATCCAGGTAGGTGATGTAAAGTACTCTTTGTTTTGTAGCTAGATTTGCTGTATATGTAGTTAATAGAAATGTTTTATGTACTAAAGTGTTGCTTCCCCAGGTTTGAGAAACATCTTGCCTATAACCACAGCCAAAGTGCCTATAGTAAAATTTGAACACAGACGGAGTGGCTTAGAAGGAGATATCAGTTTATACAATACACTGGTAAGCATCTGCTTCTCCTTGGGTTTGTGTTCCAGCTGAGCTCTTAATTCCTTCTGACTCAAATAATCATTTGAGGGAGTAATTTTGAAGCCAAAGTTAAAGCCGAAGTGTGGTTGGGTTTTTTTTTTCTACAATTTGAATTCAGTGGCCTCCACCCTCAGCCCAGCCCAAGCAGCTGTGTGACCTGCTGGCAAAGCAGCTCATGGCACAGAAAGCCTTTCCATGGATGCTTCTGAAAAGCTTAGTGCCACATCCACTGTGGCCTGTTGGCCATCGTGAATAGTAAGGCTCATGCCAGCTTTCACCTGGCACAGCAAAACAACTTTGACTCACATTCACACCTGTTTGATTTTACTTGTTTCTCCCTTTCCCAGGCACAGCATAACACAAGGATGCTGGCTACATATGCAGCTATTGATCCTAGAGTGCAGTATCTGGGCTACACCATGAAAGTTTTTGCAAAGGTAATGTAAAAGTAGGTGCTTACTTGTATAAAAGTGTTTTCTGCTACAGCCACTGAGTTCACTTGTTGCTAATACCACCTGGAAAGGAGGCAGTAGAGTGCTGTTCATATGAAGTGTACTTTCTTAAGATAGCCATGCTCTGTGTCTGTCAGAATCAAGTCCTGGTTTCTTCTGCTATCTGTTGAAAGATTTCCATCTAAGAGGAAGCTGATAAAAGGAAAACTTACTTTTCTTTTTTCTTCAATTTCAAACCAGCTACAATTTTAACAAACAAAAAATCCTCACCCAAAACCCAAACCAAACTGGACAAAATGGTAACTGTAGGATGTAGAGGCATGTGGCTGTGCTTGAGCTTTCCAAATTTCCATACCTAGGACCAGTCCAGAGATTGCTTCTGGCATACTCACCTTGGTTTTACCTAGTATCACAGTCAGGAGTAGGTAGGTAAGGGGTGATGAATGAATGCCTGAGGCTCTGTTTGACATGCCTAGGACATATACTTGACTATCAGAGTTCGGAAATATCAAGTACCAAATCTCCTGCATCTTTTGTTAGGATATTCTAATAAAGTGTTACACTATACAGACTTTGATATTGAAACATGGTGTTGCTTTTTATTCAAGCTGCATTATTAAATACACTCCCCAGACACATCCAAAGAAAGCTTAGTGAAACTGGGGCAAATAAAAAATGGCTTATATGGAGTGCATCGTGCTCCCAGATGTTCATGTAATAAGCTACATCAAGAGGAATAAAATAACTTTGTGCCAGAATGGAATGGACATGTCCATTTATACTGTCACTGAGGCCAGTAAGGATTTTTTTTCTTGGTGCGGTCACAGTGGTGCACAAAATTGCTGTGTCTCTTCTGTGTCTAGATTAAAAATGCTTTGTGTTGATAATAATGAATATTACATGTTTTTAGTACTGCATACTATTGTGTAATGTAAAGATTTTACTCTAAAAATCAAGTTTCCAAGTTGTGGGATATACACTCCTCGATGTATGTGTATGGAAGTGACTTCATAGCTATACAAACACTCTTTAAGCAAAATGCTTCCTCCTCTGTTTGCATTGGCAGAATCACCAGGAACAGCTGTGGCTGCTGCTGCTAATGTGAAAGTAATTTGTGACTCCCAGTTTATCCAGACTAGGAGGTTAAAAGTGCAGTTAGTTGTGACACAGGCTTGAAGCATGGGGTAGCTTAGAGGCAGGTGCTGTGGAAAGGTTATACTGTAATAAGATATTGGAGCATAGTCAGGTAATCCACTGATTACAGAGTCCCAGAATGGTTTGGGTTGGAAGGGACACTGAAGAGCACCTGGTTCCAGCCCTGTGCCTTGGGCAGGGATGTTTGTTCTGCACTGTGTTGTGCAGGCAGGGAATGGTTTTGTTAGGGGTGTGTATGGATGCAAAATGCCACCTATTGCCTAAGTTGCCAGTACAACATGGAAATACTTACCTATTATTAGTTTTACCTATTAATAATTACCTAGGTAATTATTACATAATAATTAATTTTATTTTTAATTGGGGTCACACCAAAATATTAAGGAATGATAGAAACAGCTCTAGTAACAAGTTTATGAAAATGATGGTGTTTTGTGGTACTGAAACTTGGGATTTCTGTTCTGGGGATTTTGATTTGGGTTTTTTTTTTCCAATTTGGCACATTATAAATTAAAAAAAAAAGTGAAATTTGGCTATGAGAAACTTCTCTGTTTTTATGCTAGTCAAATTATGCTGTGGATTTGCCAGATGGCAGTTGACTCTAGGGTGCTTTTATTTTTCAGGCTTCATAAAACAATTTTTAGTTATGAGCTGAATGTATCTGCTGTTACTAGTGGGATTTCTGTCTGCTCTCTGACATAGCTGTTAGTCTTGAATAATAAAATGTCAATTCAGTGTTTTGTTTGAAATGTGTTTTGCAGCGCTGTGATATTGGAGATGCCTCTCGTGGTAGCCTGTCCTCCTATGCCTATATTCTGATGGTTCTGTACTTCCTACAGCAGAGAAATCCACCAGTTATTCCAGTTCTTCAGGAGGTAGGTTTTCAGAAGAAGAGGCTATGAAAATAGATGGACCTTCTTTTCAAGCCAAATATGAGCAATCTGGGCATTTAGGATCAGGGTGTGAGTGAAGTATGGGGGCTCTCTGATTAGCAGGTTCTAAACTCCCACTTGGTTTTAGGAGGTAAAACTTAGCAAGAAAATGAGAACAAAATTGAGGATCTGTTGGGCCTAAGTTCTGCTGTTAAATTTACTTTGGGATTTTGGTCTTCTGTTGATATATATATGCTGAACAGGATAGAGAAAAATTGGCAGGTGGTGTGGAGAGAAGGGAATTGTAATTATGAGACTGTACCAGATGCTCTTGAAATGTGAGTCCAGCTCTTCAACCAGTTATTGTCAGAAGCAGTATTTATTGCTCAGATCTTTGTAAGAGATAAATTTTATTTTATTACTTGATGGGGGGGGGGAAAAGGCAAACTTTTTTTGTGCCAAGAAACTTTATTAAGAAATAATACCTCCACTGCATGGGTGGGGAAATTATCATCAGCCTCTTCCAGCTCTCTGAAATTCCCAAGCATGCCTGAAAGTTATCCCTCTCTGACTTTTTTGGTTTCTGTGTGCAAGAGGAAATTTGGCTTAAGTATTGCAGTTGAGACTCATAGACTTTCTTGCTGATGCTTTAGTAGTGGTTTGGGATTGTTACTTTATTACTACCCTTAGAGTGCATTTAAATAACAGAGGAATTTCCCCTTGGCTGTGCTAAAGTCAAAATGTAATAGGAATCATATAAAGCCTCCTTAGAGACTCTCTGGGCAAGAGGGATGTTGGAATCTTGATGGAGGTAATTCAGTCATGTTTTCTTGGTTGCAAAGAACAAGTGAAAATTAAATAGCCGAATAATTTGAGAGGTACAGCAGTAATTCAAAAAGACTTTCAGACTTTTTACCCATGAGAAATTCTGTCTGTGTAAGAAGCAATTGTGAAAATTAAAGGATTTATATTTTTGTGTCATTTTTAACAGCAAAGCTGCAGGTATTTTATGATGACTTTGACTTGGAGTGTGACTGTGTCCCTCTCTCTTCCGGCAGATATTTGATGGAAAACAGATTCCACAAAGAATGGTGGATGGATGGAATGCTTTTTTCTTTGATGACATGGAAGAACTGGTAATAGTCTAATTCCAGAAAAGCCACTAAAACTTAAACGTTGTTTTTATGGAGAAGTAATAAATTTCTAATGGTGTAATATATAAAAGAGTACTCAAACTTCCATATCCATGATATTATCACTTCTCAAAGGAGTCCTGTTTTGCTGAAATTAGTGTTTGCTTTTTCTTGGTTTACTTTCAGTCAGTTCTAAATAACATACATCAGGAAAAATACTCTTTGTTCTTAAAAACAGTGCAGGATTAGTGTTGACTAGTGATTTAACCTGACTTGAACCAAATGAAACTGTTTGTGGTAGGCAAACTCATCGTTAGGGAGGTATTCTGGGAGAAGAGGTACTTCAGTAGCTGTAGCTGTACAAATTGCCTTCACTTTCATGCAGAAGAAGCGTCTCCCTTCTCTTGGAAAGAACACTGAATCTCTTGGAGAGCTGTGGCTGGGGTTGCTGAGATTCTACACTGAAGAATTTGACTTCAAGGAGTATGTGATCAGCATTCGGCAGAAGAAGCTGTTAACTACCTTTGAGAAGCAATGGACATCCAAGTGTATTGCCATCGAAGGTACTCTGCTGCTGATTTGCTCTTCCACTAATGAGGGGGTTATGAAATGTTGCTGGAGAATCTGTTCTCTTCGCATAGGATCTTTATGTGAGGAAACCCCCATCAGTGTTTTGCAAAAGCATTGTTTGCAGGTCCTGCAGCTCATGGAATGAAATTAGACTCAGAGCTTTTACTAAGTGTCAGTAAATTGCTCTTCTTACTGTGCTATGGTTAGTCACCTACTTTTAAGACACTCAGCATTGCTTTGCTGTCACCTACTCTGTGAATGCATTTAAAATGGAATTCTCTGTGTTAAAATAGAACTATTCTGCTGCGGCATATTTTTTCCAACTCTAATTTGATTTTTTTTCCCCTCCTTTGAACAGATCCTTTTGACTTGAATCATAATCTCGGTGCTGGAGTCTCTAGGAAAAGTAAGCTATTAATGTCTGCTAGTGATTAGTGTTCACTGAGTTGTGCCTTTTCTGTTCTTTTCCAATAACTTTGTCTTTCTTCAATAGTGACTAATTTCATAATGAAGGCATTTATCAATGGGAGAAAACTATTTGGTACCCCATTCTACCCAGCTGTTGGAAGAGAAGCTGTAAGTTTTCAGAGTCCTTAGTATGTTTTTACCTTTGTTCACTGAATTGATGCCTCCAAGGCAAATCTCTTGTATATACTTTTCAATTTGGTATGAAGAATATATGTAATTATACTTCATCTGCATAAAATGTATGTCTTAGTACTGTGCTCCTGCAGCATAAAATTCACAGGAGTAGCTGGATGGGTGATGGATATTTTTGGCAGGTTTGGGGGAAGTAAACTTAATTCGGTTTTTATTTTTAAGAAAACTTTCCATTGTGTGACATTAACTGTTGCAGAACAATGCAGAATTGACTATAAACCCAGAAACAGTTTTAAGAACTTTTAATAGCTGTTCATGTAGGTAAAGAAACCATATTCAAGAGATGTTATATTCTGTTTATTTTTCCAGTTGGTGCCGCTGCTTGAGGAAGGAAAAAGGATGGTCATAGACATAAGTCAGTTGACCTGCAAAATTTGCATAGTGCGTCAGGGTCAGGACTGTGTTCATGCCACATCATATTGGAGAAAGCACTCCTCTGTGCTTCAGGGCCCAGGCATTGATGTGTAATAGGCAACTGTTTTCCTTGTATGCTGGAACTAATATTTTTAACATCTACATAGAAAGATGTTTTCTAAGACAGGTTAGAGGACTGTTCTCCCAGTGGCTGTTAACAGGGCTTGTCTTTCTAAGGGATGATAAAAATATTTTGAAATATTTATTTCCCTTCATCCTTCCCTACTTCTCTCTTCCATTTGCTTTCTTTATCTCTGTTTTTCTGAGTTTTTACCTCTATTTCAGTCTTTCAAGCAAGATGGTACTTTGACAATATTTTTGTTGCTCAGAGGCTGTAAACTGTGGCCTTTGTGCTGACACACATCAGAACTGCAGCTGTCCTTAGCAAATTCCAGGGGAGGGGAGTGATACAGGTCAGTCTGCAGATGCTCCATCTGTTTCCCACCTGAGCTTTGTTCTCTCTAGGGGGATATAATTGTGGCATTTGGGAAGGGACACAAGTCTGCTTTGGAAAGCACACAGGCAGTGACTCAGATACCAAAATAGATCATATGCAAAAAATTGCCCTCTGAGGAGCCTTTGGGGAGGCAGAAGGTAGGCAGCAAACTGGAGCCTGGATAAGCTGTTCTGCAAATTCAGCCTCTGGCCCTAAGACCAAATCCCCTTTTCAGCCCAAACTGCTCCACATCTCTGACAAAGCTGCCATTATCTAGGGGAAGAAAAGGACTAGGTATCATCTAAGGAGGAGTAAAATGCAGGGAACAACAGGAGATGAAAGCTGTCCATTTTGCTTTCATTTCTCAGTCTTGTGAATGGTTTATATCCCTTATCTGTCTGATGTGTTTTGGTAGGAATACTTCTTTGACTCAAAAGTGCTGACAGATGGGGAATTGGCACCCAATGACAGATGTTGTCGTGTCTGTGGAAAAATTGGGCACTACATGAAAGACTGTCCAAAGAGGAGGAGGTAAGTAATACACAAAGCTATAGTAAAATCTTTGAGATTCAATCAGGAGAGATGTGGATATTTGAAGTTTTAATGGAAATGAAAAATATGCTGAATTGCAGAGGAAAATCAAAGCTTCAGATCTGATCCTCAACTTCCCATCCTGTTTTACTTTTAAGACTGTTCCTGGTCATCTCTTTAAATTTTAGTGTTTATGCAAACACACAGAGTAAAATCAACATTCTGTAATATGCTAATATGTAGTTAAGCTTAACTTAAAACTCAGACAACTAAATTATCTTTTTATAGTCTGAACATTCAGATAGGAGACCCATATTGCCTGGCTGCACAGTTTGTCATGTATTAGAATGGATCTCCTGTAGTGAGCATGGTCAGAAGACAGTGCTGAATTTGAGTTCTTCTGTATATCTGGTAATGTACATCTGCAAGGCAGGTAAAATTCATTTTACAACATCTAGGGATAGTTTAAATGTGCACAGTTAAGGTGCATTTCTGTAACATCATACTAGTGCCAGTCACCTGGTGATCTGCACTTGTGTGTTAACTTCACTTAGGAGTTTTGGGTCCTGCAAAAGGAGTCCTTGGTACATGCAGGTCAATGTCTCCAAAGAGAGTTTAGCAGGAGTTGACAGAGAATGTGCACTTCTCACATTTTTGCAGCTTTGGATATTTAATGAACCACTTAGTGTAGGTTGTCTGACTCCTAAAACCTGTTGAAGCCCTTGATTAAAGTCTGGGCTTTTTCATGTACTCCTTATGTTCAATTGTGTGCTCCGTAATTCTTCAAAGGATTCTTGGTTTCTTCCTGCTCCAGAGTCCTTATTTACAGCCTGTAGTTGAGTCAGCAGAGTTCAAGATACTTGAAAGTGGACTGGAACCCTGAGGTCACAGGTGCACTCGTTCTTTCAGCTGCTCTCTTACAAGCACTAGCACATTGGATTGCATCACCTTTTTGCCTACGTCTGCCTCAGGAAAAGAAGTTGAAATCTGCTCTTCGCACAAACTGCTACTACGGCACAGCCGCAGAGACTCTCTCTCAAATTCTATATACAGCTCAAAAAATAGTATTAATATTTAGCAATCCTACAGATATCTTGTGGAAAGAGACCTTTACTTTTTGTCTTTGTTCCTCATCACTAGTTCTTCTTGTATTGTATTAGTACTGAGTGTTTGAAACTGCCTCAGTGCTTTCTTTCACATCCTGTCTAGGCTCAGACACTCTTGCAGAGAAAGGTGCCCTGTCTAGTCAGGAGGAGGTTGTATCCACAAGGTACAGCTTACTAGTTTTGGGTATGTCCTGGTTCAGTGGAATTGGTGCATAGAACTACTCCCAAACTAACTAGCAGGTTAAGCCTGCTTAGCTGCAGGCATAATTCTGTGCTGATACAGTCAGACAGCTTTTGGACAAGTCTGGGGAGCTTCTAAGTTCATTAAGTTCATACAAGCAGGTCATTAACCAGCCGAGTCTGAAAGTATTTTTCTGGGATTCCTAAGATATTTGTATTCTGGTACAGCTGTTGGTTATGTAACCATTTCCTTTGAACATTGCCATATAACAGCTCTGCAGAGATTTGTGTGTGTGGTTTTGTGATGCTGCTAATAAAAGTTATTATTCAGGTTGAAGAAAAAGGAGAATGAGAAAGATGATGAAAAAGAAGTGAAAGAAGATGACAGAGAAACAAGAGAGAAAAGGTGTTTCATCTGTGGGGATGTGGGTCACGTTAGGAGAGATTGTCCTGAGTTCAAACAAACCCGTCAGAGAAATAATGGCATGCCAGGTGAGTGTAGTTTGGAACTTCTGAGATCCCTATACAGACCTGGTAATTACCTTAAAAATCCTGCAACTCATGTTTTCAGTCATTGCAAATACAGCTCTTAGTCTGTGTTGCCTTTCCTTGAGGGGAGTGATGCCTCCTGAAGCACAGGCTTTGCATGGGTGGTAAAAATGTACTCAGTATGTATAGTGTACTTCAGGGCATTGCTTTATTTGTCTTCCACTCGTGATGGCTGCATTTAGTAGCAGTAATAATAGTAATGATTGAATGCATTTCCTCTTTCAAATGTTTCTCAAATGTTAGCTAACCCTCCAGCATCTGTGAGAGGTAAGTGCATTTTCACCAGAAATCAGGGGTGTTACAGTAACCCTTCCAGCAGAACATACAGATGAATTAGACTAGATCCGACTTTGAAATTACTGATAGTACTTGGGAAAGTCTAATTGCAGACACATTCAAGTTAGTCCCTTAGTTGCCTGTGGTTTTTGAAAAAGTAGAGAAAGCAATCACAAATGACCTTCAGAGAACCTTCCCTCTTTTCTGTATTCTGTTACCCTTCACTCTTTTTGTCTTTCCTTTCTTTGCCCTAAAGTTACTGCTGTTGCTATTTCAAATGCCACTGCTAACAGCAGAAGTGTGAAAACCTGTATAAAGTAGTGCTCCTGCCTGATAGCAAAGTGAGCCTTGTTCATGCTAGAATTTGTTTTACTTAAAAATAGATTGTGTGTTTAGCTGCCGGAACTATTCTTGTGTGTTGCCAGTAGAAGGGAAGGTTTCCATCTCTCTCAGTTCTGTTCACTCTTGTGTCACCTGTAACCTTGTGGGTTTTATTAACACTTCTGTTCCTTGGCCAGGCACGCAGCTGGTCCGGAGCATGGTCGGGGCACAGCTGGTGGCAGTGAGCCAGCAGCAGGTGGAACGGCCCTTGCGCACTAGGCAGTCGTCAGAATGTGTAAGTTCCAATTAGCCGTGGGATTGAAGTAAGCAAGCTGTGAGCAAACCAGTCATGCTAGGAGCAGCTTTGCATAGGTTTTTTTCTCAGCAGATTCTGGACTTTATAATGACAGCATTGCACTCTGCCAGCTACTGAAACTTGTTTATAAGGTAGCATCTCTTGGACAGCACTTGTGGTTTTTCAGTATGGAAACGTCGTAGTTAAATTTCATGTGAGAGAGCTTGTCATCCTGAAAGGCAAGATTGAAGCTTTCAGAGTCTTGTGCTTAGTTACTCTGGCAATGCTCTGGAGTTGCTAAGGGAAGGAAAGCATAGCTCATTGTTGGCTTGCTGGAGACATAGGTTAGTGACAACCATGGCTCTCTGTGGTGTAAGAGAACTGCCTTAAGGGACTGTCATGAACAGGCAAGGAACACAGATGAATCATACTTCAATTAAAAGTCTGCCAGAGCACACTAGAAGCACAAGCAGAACAATGGGGGATTTTTTTGTAGTTTTATCTTAGAATTTGTTCAAATATCTATAGAACTATATAAAAATCTTTAACCTGCTTTTAAGTGGAGATGGATAGCAGAGGGTGTTCAAGCAAACACAGCTGTTGGCATTTAACATTTTGAGGCTACAGAATACAGCAGAAATTCTTTTATTTTAAGCTGTTAGCCTGAGAAATGTTGTGCCTGCTAATGAAGCTGGCAAGTAAGTGCACACAGTAATCAGGGCTGCTGATCACTAATGCTCTTAGTTCAGTTTACTACATTAGATATAGAGTATTTCCTGACTGATCAGCAAGCATTTTGTGGAATGTTGGCTACAGCAACAGAGACCTTATGGCATAATTTTTAATGTAATAGTATGCTGTTGAGGAGGGACTGATACAGCCCTAATCTAAGTGAAGGGCTGAACATGCCGCAGGAGTGTATTTTTAGGAGCCTTGTATTTCTGCTTGGGAAATCAAAGCTGGGCTCATGGGTGCTCACACAGGCAGACACATGCACAGTGGACCTACTGCATGTGCACCTTCTGGTGTCACCTGTATGTCATGGACTCTCTGTGTGTTGCATGGTTGCCATTTGGCCAGGGTTACTTGGTAAATATGTGCTGTACAGGAATTCTTTGAGGAGAATGGGAAGGGGGAATATTTGTGGAGCAAGAAGAGAGCAAAGGGAAAGCAGGAGTGTGGAAGCAGACCAAGAGGCTGGAGCTTATTGTTCTTCCTCTCCTGCTGCTGGCATGTCCAGTGCCTCCTTATGTTGTTTCCAGGAAGGCTGTAGTGAGTGCATGTGCTTTGTTTTTTGTAATACTTAAACTGTTAAAGTAGTTGTCATCTTCCAAATCCCGGGTTTTACCTCCTCCTTCTGGTTTGATAGAAAGGTATAGGAGGCGCTCATACAGGGACAGTTGGACTAGCAGCAGGGAGCAATCCCAGCTTCTGGGCTTCAGCCTTTGCCCAGGCAGAGATGCACAGCATGCTGTTAGAAGAAATGCTCTGGCATGGGGATGTCCTGCAGACCTCTGGTTATTGGAGAAAAGTGACTGCCAAGTGGCAGAAACGCCGTCATGGATAGTGACAAGCTTAGAGACATTTAACTTCAGGTATTTGACATCAACTGAGGCACTTGGAGCTTGTCTGTCTGCTCCAGTCTGTGGAGAGAGACAAGTCGCTCCGGGGGAGATTGAGATCTGAGATTCTGGTTTAAGTACCTGTTTGTCATTTGGATATCTCTTTGGAGGCATCTATCTTACGCCATCAGCATCTTGTCTCATTGCTTAAAACCAGATTAGGTTAATCCAGATATTGGTATTAAATAGTGGCAGATAAACTGGGAAGATCTTTTGTCAGCCGCTCCAGTTCTTGAAGTGCTTCCCTGTGTAGTTCCGATTCCAAACAGATGAAGTGGGCTGATGCCTATTTCTGTAGCTGGTGACAGGGAAAGCTTTGTAAGTGCTCTGCAACAGCTGTAATAATTCCTCTTTCCATGCTGTTAGCCATGGCCTAACATCAGGATATGAAGGTTGAAAGTGGGTTTTTGGAGTTTGCATTTCTTGTTTAACGGATTTTTTTTTAAATGAAAGAAATGTTAGGAGCTTACTTTGGAATTGCTAAAACACTCTGCAGTAATGAGAACCACTCTGTTAGAAGTAAGGTAAATAGTGAATGATATTCTGGGCTGTAAATGAGTAGGGTGGGGGGAAGATGCTGTTTAGAGATCAGAAACAGATGTGTCAGAAGTCTAGGGAAGAGCTTGAGGCTAATGTTTTCTCAGAATGACATTTCTGGTGGTTGGATGTGCCACACTAACAGACCAAATGATCTGTGGGTGAAAGTCAGTGTCATTCGAACTGCACTTACTGAATCCAGCAGGAGCTTGGGAGCAGTATTTGGGGTGTTGCTGGGGAATGCTTTGCCTTTTCTGTGACTAGTCTAAAACAGTGTGTGCTTATTGAAGAAAACCACCGTTAAATAGCTAGTGAACTAATCAGAAATACGTACTTTTTTTTTTCCCCTCCAGTCTGATTCGCATCAGTCATCTTACTCTCCACAACCTCAGCAATTTACACAGAGCTCCTCTCAGCCAGCCTCCATTGCCCAGACTCAGCCACAACCAATATCCCAGTCTAAGCACGTTCCACAGCCACAGCAGGGTGCACAGCCACCCCATCAGGTCCAGCTGCCTTTGTTTAACTTTCCCCAATCTCCCCCAGGTCAGTATTCCACCATGCATAACCTGGGACTACTTCAGATGCACCCTCACCACCAAATTCAGCTTTCCAACACTTCTTGGCCTATTCATGGGCCTGTTATTCACTCTGCACCGGGTAACCCTCCTCATTCTGCAAATGTTCCATTTTCTATGAGATCTGGCAGCAGCAGCACCACAAATAACCAGAGCAGTGTAAGCTTGAATGATCCCAGTATCATCTTTGCACAGCCTGCTGCCAGGCCCATGGGAATCCCCAGCACTTCTCATGAGGGACACTGGCACAACCCTGTGACTCCAAACTCACTGGTGAACAATGGCACTGTGGGGAATTCAGGTAACTCTTCTCTGTTGTATCAAACCTCTCGCACTTTGTGTACAGGTGTTAAGTGTTACAGAAACAGCTAACGCAGCTTGTTTCATGTAAGGAGTACAATGCTTAAGAAACGAAGTCATTACATGTCTTAACACTTCCATAGGAAAGAAAATCAGGCAAGTTCAGTCACTGTGATTTTTAGACATTGGTCCTGCCTGCCTTTAGTGGCTGTGCAGCAATGAGAAATCATGCATTCAACTGAGAAACATCCTCATTGTTGGAGTTTGAAGCACAGTTTTGTGAATATGCTGACAAATAATGGTTTCCTTTTATCATAGAATCACTCAGGTTGGAAAAGACCTCTACGATCGCTGTGTTATGCTATTTATTACCTAAATGCTGTGACCACAGCCACAAACTTGAGAGACTGGTGGAGTTAAGGTTGTGCAGGTTCAATATTCCCTCCTTGCATTTAGTGCAATATAACATGATCTTACCCATTCTTTTTTCCTATAGTTTATCCTGCCAAATTTTAACTTCCACAGTCTTGTCAATTCCTGAATATGCATTTTCCTGTAGCAAGTGGGCAACAGCCTTTTGCCTCATGGCTAAGCCAAGTACATTGGGATGTTTGAGGCTGAGAAAAACCAGTATATAGTCACTGAAGCCCATTCAGTTTTCTCTGCCACAGCCCCCAAATTTTAACTGTGATCTTTAGATCATAAATCATGATAATGGTCTGATTTCTTCTGAGTTGTAACTCCTCCTGTGTTTAAAAAATTATCCATCATACAATATACTGGTGCAGTTGTTCATCACAAGATGGAAGTTCTGAATCTCCTCCCCTTCCTTTCTCTGCACTAATGAGGTGGTTGACAGCAATAGTAGATTTTCAGCCAAGTCAGCAGTGTTGAATGAGGAGTAATTCACTGCTGAGTTTCAGATGTGTTGAGGTGTTGGAGGTAGATGATTTTCTATTCAGAGCTTTGTGGGGAATACATTTTAGAGGATACAGAAACTGCTACCCGTGTTTTCTGTGTCTCCAGTGTGGTCTGTCCCTACCTCTCCATTTCTGACCTTAGTTCTCTGTCCAGGCTCATTTGTTCCTTTCTCCATGTCCATCCCAGCTCTGACTTTTCCTCAAGCAGCTCCTTCCACTCCAAGTCTCCTTACCCAGCTGGCTGCCTCCTTTCAGGCAAACTCCACAAATTCCAGTTTCTTCTCCATTCTCCCAGTTTTCTTGTGTTGTCAGTTTTTTCAACGTCCCTCATCTTCCATCTATTTCTAACCGCACCACACTCCTTTTCTAGTTCAGAGTCCTAGTATTTTCCCTTTTTGTATTTGAATCAGTTTTATTTCCGTTTTGGCTTAGATGCCATTGAGGGAGGTGTGGTCACTGGGTGGGTGCACAGTGGAGATGAGCTGTCTCCTCTCTGTTTGTAGCCTGTTTTCCTACTTGTTTGGGACAATTTGAGAACAGTAAGTTTGTGAAAAGTTTGCCTTGGCTCACATAATCTTTGACTTGGAAGGAGCAGCTTGACTTTCTTTTCAGCAAACAAGTGACCAGAAATAGGATTGTTAGAACTTTCAGACAGATGACTTTTTTCCATGCATACTCCAGAGACAGCTCCTCCTGTTGGGTGTCCTGCCTCCTTGGATGCTTGATTTCTCATCCTTAATGCTGCAGTAGTACTGGAATTGTGAATGAAATACCTGACAATTTGTGTACTTCTTTCCGAAGTTTATATTTTCCTCTCTAAACATCAGTTTTAAGTTGCTCCAGTGATCTAGATAGCAAGTTTCTTAAGCATGTAAGTATTAGTAGAATTCCAGTGTACATTTGAGAGTTATTTCCTGCAGTAGGATAATTAGCTTCATGCCTCAGCTCTGTCAGTGCTGTGGATATATCTGTGGGATCACATAATAGTAACATGGCTCAGACCTTGTATTTTCATCATGAGAATGACATAGGACTAGTGAAATTGTAGGTCCTGATTTTAATACTGATTCATCCTCTGTCTTCCTCCCCAATAAATTCTATTCTAGCGAATAATGAAGTAATTTAGGTGATAATTTTTATTGCTGTATATTTAAAAAGAAAGCAGTAGCAAATCAGACTGATTGCATTAAGTCCCCTGCGAACTGTTATTTAAGATGCAAATTGTATTTGTGACTTACTGTTTAATTATTTCAACTTGCAATGTGCTTTTCCCTTTCAATTGAAAACTAGATCAGGGTTTCCAAGGACAGTTTGGTAAAATGAACCCTCCTTCTGTCCCTTGGGACCATGGGACCCCTACCCATTTTCCTCTCCTCCGAGGAGCGTGGCCTTACAATATGCCTCAGAACTACATGCAGCAGGGAAATGCCAGCTACCCACCGAACAAACCTTTCTACCCTCAAGGTACTAGAACTAGTATGTGAATCAACAGCTCATGCAACATGTTTCTTTACTGTCTCAAAGGCTTTAAAAGCCAAGGAATCATGTCTCACTTGCCAGGCTCCCTGGAACCATAATGACCCCAAAATTCAAATCAGTGCTTCAGCTTCCTGTATGGATGGATGCAAATCATTGTGGGAGGGAAGGGGTTAAAGGAAATTCTGGAGTCTGAGCCCGTTTGCAGCTGTTGCACTTCCAGCCTTGTCCCTTCATTGCTACTGTCTCACTGCCTCTGCTTCAGCAGAGGTTAAGATCATTGGCCCATGAGCATGTTAACAATATGAAGAAATTCTTTGCCTAATTAATTGTGTTTGATTTTTGTGCCTTGCCTTGTGAAATGACTACCTAGATAAAAACCTGCAAGACCATAGAATAATTTGAGATTGAAAGGGGCTTTGGGGTTACCTAGTCCAGCCTATCTGCAGTCAGAGCAGCACTAACCTCAGAGGCAGCTCAGGGTCAGTCCGTCAGGGCCTGGCAAAGGACTGACACTGTCTCAGCTCTTTCTGATGCTAGTGACAGGTAAAGGTGTTCAGCATCTGGGAGGATTGGGGAAGGCTGTAGGAAATAGACCTCCACTACAGGAGAAACTATGGCCAAATCTGACCTGGAGGATTTGCAGTTCTCTTTCTGCTGGGTCACCTGGTATAAAATGAGAGTTACAGGGTGTCCAAGCAAGGCCCAGATTCAAAATCCTCAAGTTGTGTTTGTTAAATGACGGAAGGAAAATACAACAAAATGATGCATTGATGCTTCTTAGGGAATTTTGAAGGTAGGATGGAAATAATGCTGCACCATCCCATTGATGGGTTAGTTGTACAGACAGCATTTGTGTCAGTCTTGTCAGTGGCTTCAGTGCTAAGTTAGATCAGTGCTCTTGAGTTTAGCCAAGCACTGGTAAATGTATTTTGCTTGAAGTAATTGTAATCCATTTTCTTTTAGCTGGTCCCCTGATGCAGAGTAACCAGCGGTTCTCGCTTCTGTCTCAAGGACACCCACACTTGAATCTGAATTACATCCAACAGAAAAAGTGAAATGTTGAGTAAGGACTAGGGAGGGAGGGGAGGAAAAATTCAGGTTCTGATTTAAAATCTTGATGCAACATGTTTAGATACAAAATTATTTAAGACTCTTTTTAAACTGTATCATTTGTATATAGATATGAAGTATAGTTTTTACTAGTATCACAAAACTGAGTGATACAAATTTCATCTATTTTATTACCCTATTTTTAAGGGGAATTGTGTTTTGGTTTATCTTGATAAACTGTAAAGAGAGAGAATTTTTAAAATTAAGTTCTTTATTTTCTATTAGCTGTATTCATACTTTGGTTGCTTCAGACTTTATATATATTGTTCTAAAAAAAAATAAAATTAGAAGGGGATTTCATGTGTTTAAAAATTTGTCACTTCTATTCTTTACAGAACTATGTAGTGCCAAAAATCTTTTTGAAAGAAAAATAAAACTGAAAAAAAGGACACAAGACTTTTTTCCTCTTCCCTGTTTGCATGCTTGCCTTGACTGGAGTTAGGAATCCAGAATAATGAACGCTGCTTTAAGCTGGAGATCTTGGAAGGATGAGCAGCTTTGACAAGCCATTCAGGCAGTGGACCTGTTTTTCTCCATTGCTGTTCACAGCCAGTTTGTGTCTTGTAAATATTCAAGGGCAGAGCATGTCTGCTTTTCCGTTTATCAACTTTGCAAAGTAACATGCAAATCCTCTAGAGAATTCAGGCTGTATGGGGAAGTAATTTTAAAGATATCCCATAAATTCACTTGGCATCCTGTTGGTGCTGTCAGCACTCACGGGGCAACGTCTGGGAATCCTCAAGCCCCAAGTACAGCGTTCAGGGGTAACCTGCCAGTCCCTGAAACAAGGCAGGAATAGACATGGCACACAAGGGTTGAACACAACTGATTCCCTGTGGTACAGAATTAAATATACTCAGAACTAAACTTCAGTAGGAGCTTAAGAATTCTCACTTTAAAAAAGCAGGACTTGCCCAGTGCTAACCTGATTCAGAGAGGGTAGAGCTGAGTATAGTGGTGTCATGTTCCTGTCCCCAGTCACAGGGCCCCTATGCTCCACAAACTCCCCACAAACTGTGCTCCAAGTAGTGGTGTATTGTCTTCAAATACAGAATAACTTCTTGCCCAAAAAGAATTTAGTGGTGCTTTGTACGTGAACCTTTTAAACTGCCTGATTGCAGCATCAGAAACAGATTAGTCTTAAGGGTGATTCTTACAAAGCTGACACCTTCGTAAAAAAACTTTGCAGCAGTAACAGTTGGGTGTTGGTGGCAAGCAGTTATAAGTTACCTTTTAGCAAATACAGTGGATTTTGGTGCCTTTGCTGCACTGGAGCTCTGAGCTAGCTCAGGGCTGGCAGCTCTGCAGTGCTGGGGACTGGAACACACTCCTGCTTTGGCAACTGAACACAGTGACCGTTTGTCAAACCAACGCCCTGATTTGAGATTGAAGCTTCAGCCACAGCCCATCCAACCACAGTGTTGGGAAAGAAACAGCCAGAAGCCCTTAAAGACAAACCTCCTTCTTTATTGCTCTTTACTACTTTTTACAGGTCTCAAGAGAAACAATTTTTTAAAAAAAGCCTCCAATTCTATCCCAAGGATGAATAACTACATAAAATTATCCTTAATAAAAAAATCCAACACAACAAAAATCAAGACTCGTCCAAGAGGAGAATGGTTGAAGAAATGGACTGCTAAAGCAGCCAGTACACATGCAGCTGTCCTGTAAAGCACAGAGGACAGCATTAGACTGCAGTTTAAGGTCCTTAAACCATCTGCAGGATTTAGTTTGTTATTCATTCCCTCGCCGACTCTTCTTGTGACTTTTCTTAGACCTGAAGCAGAAAAACAAAAAGCCACTGTTACACACCCACCTTCAGTCCCCAGAGAAATGACAAGAGCTTGTACCGAAGTACAGGTGCCCTTAAGCAACCGGCAAAGCCTTTACCTTTCCCTTTGCCTTTACCTTTCCGGGGATTTGGAGTGACTTCGGTGTCTGTGACTTCGGTGATGCCCTGGGAGACAAAGAGGTTACAATTAGAGACGCTGGAATTCTATTTTGTTTTGCTAATGCAATCTGCATAATGCCAGAAACACCTTAGTCTCAACTGAGGCACTCAACTTTCTGGCAAGTACCCGAAAACTTCCTCAAGGCAACTTTGCATGCATTAAAGCAGCTGTGCTTTCATGGACCCAGCACTTCCGTGAGCATGAGTGAGTAAGCACCTGTACTACTGTCCTGATACCTGACACAGATCTTCCCTTGCAGCAGCTGTTCTGCTGCAAAAGACTTGCCAGAGTTACTGTGTGAATGCCAGAAATACCTGGAGATTTGGATCTGGATCTGTGGCGCCTCTCCCTGGATCTGCTCCGGTGTCGTCTGGGGCTTTTGCTGCGATGCCTCTCCCTGCGCGGGGACGGGCTGAGAGAAGGAAGTTTGTGAGACTGACATAGTAAACGTGCACGTGTTCTAAGATTTAATGATATAATAAAGACCATACCTCCTCCTCTTGGGAGAGCGGCTTCGCCTGCAAGTGGAGGGAGAGGAGCAAAACTCACTAAAAAAATCATTGGCAGAAACAGCTGTTTCATTTCCCACATCCTCCAGCAACAGCACCAAGGGCTAGCCCCCCCCCCCCCCCCCCCACAGGGGGGTGTTGGGGCTGCATCAGTGTGTGTCTGGGCTGTGGCACAGGGACCTGCTGCTGCACTGGCCCATGCAGTGAACAGAGAAGGTTAGTGATAGATTATTACTAGCTTATCAGAGAGATTAACAGGATTTTTTTCTCTGCAGCCTCTGGCTTGCAGGAAGACAAAAGCACTTGGTTCTTCTTAACATATTCACTTATTGCCCAATTTAAGCTGAAATTGGCCAGCAAGTTCAAGAGCTGCTGAAGGACTGGAGACACAGGGGTGACTGTGGCTGTGCACTGCAGTTCCTTCCTTTAGGAAGGGGCTGAAGGAGGTGGGAGGTGTTAGAGGTTCTGGCTGAACTGCCACACTCACTTTGTGCTCCAGCCATCTGCAGCACAATAGGTAAAAACACTGCTTACCTCCTTGGAGACCTGCTCCGGCTCCGCCTGTACCGCACCACCGGAGATCTGCGCGGCTTGTCCAGATCTCGGTATCCCCTGCGGCGGTGGTCAGGAGATGGGACTCGTTCCAGCTGGCAACAGTAAGAGAGGTTCTCTATGCCTTGTTTCTTCAAGGGTTTTAGCTATCCTTACAGATTTTTGAACAATGACACAAGTCCTGCACTCAGCTTCCCCACCCTCAAGTATTTCACACTCTGAAGTGAGTGGTTCTGCCCAAACTTTGCAACTGTAAACTCAACACCCACAGCTCATAGTGCTGATTCTTAAGGAGTACAGCAGCACTGACTGTGATGGTCACTGTAACTTCTATCATCACCTTTAGCTCTCTCCATTTTACATGTATGCACAACTTGGCTGAAATAGGTGTAACACAGAACAGACCCAGATTTGTGAAGTTCAGGAGACAGAAAAGCTTGACAAACACAGAGCATGTGAGAACTGCCTCAGGGTCTAACAGGTTCTCACAAGCAGCTCATAGGAAAATATGTTAAGGAGAGAGAAGAGTAGCCAGCAGCCTCCTGGTGCCTCCCTTCAGGTATTTATCATAGACCACCAAGTGTTCTAGAGTGGTTCAGCACCAGCTTTAACTATCCCTTTCCAAAATAGTTCACACCAACCTTTTCATCTTCCTCTTCCTCCTCCTCACTAGATTCTACATCGTCCATGTCTTCTTCCAGAGCACTGACACGAGGCTCGAGCTGCTCAGCTTCTTCCAGAACATAGCGTTTCTAGGAGAAATGGCAACGTCATCTGACATAACCCAATAACAAACACCTGAGGAGTTACCCAGAGCTTTGTGCCACAAGCCAGTTGCTGATAGAACTAGTCAGCCTGAGGCACTTCAGAATTCCACAACCATCCACTCTTCCTAACCTGCAGCCGAGGCAGAATGATATCACACACACGTTCCTCGTGGAGCAGCTCATCAATAAACTCATCCACGTGCATCAGCTCAAATTCTGGGGGGGCAAACAGCATTTAACAGACAAAGCAAAGATGAAACACGTCAGACAATTTATGTCAAGTGGGCTGGTCATGCCACAATTAGAGTATTTCCTTTTATCTAGCATGATGCTTTAACACAAGGTCATTATGAGGTGTTAAGAAACCACAGCTAAGAGTCCTTACCCCCATTTCTGTTCTGACTCTTTATTTTTCGGTAGTCATTGTACAGTGGCTCCAGGTATTTGTAGCAGTCGATGGCAGTGCCTGTCAGCCTCATGTACAGCGCTCCCAGCATTCGGACGTACCTGGAAAGGAAACCTTCCATGGATGTGGAGTTTGCAGTTAGCAGGTTGGATAAAAGAAGTTTTTCCTGTAAGGTCCTGATGAAAATCATTTGACTAAATAGAATACACAGACATTTAGGTTTTCTCCTTCATAGACTCAAGCATACAAAAAAAATCTATATATAGAGAGAGACACTAAATTATAGGTATGCATATGTGTATATAGTGTGTACATATACACACTGAAGTATCTATGTATACATAGAAGTATGTGTGTGTATATATATATATATATATATATGTAAAGCGTATGGATGCATTAGTGCATTATCCTTGGAAAAAATGAAAGCAATACTGAAGGAAAAGTAGATTAATTTGGCTCCCTTAATGCACCGTGTTCCAAATAATTCAGAGGTAACAGCCATGGAGAGCACATACCACAAAGATGAACCATTCCAACAGCCCAAGTGACAAGGAAAGCAATCGTGAAAGCAAGAGGAAAGACTTGATTTAGAGCAAGCAGTTTATCAGAGCCCACTGAAAGCTGCAGAGCCCATGCACTGGGATCTTCTGTTTTGGACAGTTTCGTTCAGCAGAACAACCTCAAAAAAGGGAAAAATCAAGCTACCAACTTACTTGAAGTCCTCGTTCTTTATGAACTCCACGATGATGTCCTTCTCGGGCTGGATCTGCAGCATCTTCAGCGTCAAGCACAGGAACGGTGTGGGCTTAATGTTCCCCCCGTAGACTCCCCCCACGTACTTCAGCTCCAT